GAGTCAACAGCCCCCAGGTCTGGAGGTGGCTGATGAGGAAGAGGAGGAACAGATGGGTCCAGTGCCTGAGGCTCAGATGCGCAGAAGGCAGAGGAGAGGAGAGCAGTGGAAATCTGTGGGCCGGTCCTTGGGACAAAAGAGCCACTAGCGAAGCTCCACCTAAACTCTGGGGATAAAAGGCAGGGGGAGGAGATGAATAGACGTAGCAGACAACTATTCATCTCCCTGCTGGATGGACTTGTTAGCCTGCCGTGAGAGAGAAACCTTTTGCCGGAGTTGCCGGCATTCCTAATAAAGGAAACTTTAACTTCAGAGGGTTTGTCGTGTTTGGGGAGCTGGGTCAGAACAGATGGACTTCAACTCCCAGAATTCCTCAGCCAGCTGTGGGAATGAACCTAGAACAAGAGTCCCCAATCTGTGGGCTGTAGCCCACAAATGGGCCGGGAGGGGTTTGTAACCGGGCCATAGAAACGGCCGTCGAGTGTGTTCATGCACGAACATCCTCACTTGTGCAAACAGTGGGTGAACATGTGTGCCAGCTTCGGAAGCCATATTAGAACCTGTCGCTTCCTCACTGCCACCTTCTTGAGCCTGGGAAAGTGGGAGAGGGGGGAATTTCTTGGAGTGTATGTAGTTAGACGTAATAACATCCTTTTTCTAAGTCAAGGTCATGTTATTTCTGCACCTGGGTGAGGGGAAAGTCTCAAGTTGGGACGGTTGGTGATTGGGGCATGTGATGTGATGATGAGGTGCAGGGGGTGGATTTGTAGTGTTTACTTATTGCAACAAAGCCCAGAACATTCAGGATGTGCCAATTTACTATCCAATTAAAACAGAACTTTTGAGAAGATATCGGTCCTGGAGTTATTTGTTGGAGTGGAGGTTTTCTGGAACGCCGACAGCGTGCACACTCCATTCAAATGCACGCCTGCTTGCCGGTCATTTAAATGGAGCATGCACACATTCACAGTTGTTTGCACATGTGAGAATGCATGTGCGTGGACACTCACCGGCCGTGCCCACCCCTCGTACAAATGGAGCTCCGTGCAGGCGTACTTGTCATGGGGTACCAACCTCCACAAAGCCAGAACCGTTGCGGAACCTCTGATCCGCAGCCTCTCGATGCAATGGCCATATATTGTTGGCTTGTTGTCGCTTGTAATCCAGCCCTTGCTTATCAGTGGAGACTGAGTGGAGCAAGTGGCCAGTTTTAAGTTTCTGGGTGTTACCCTAAAAGAGGACCTGACCTGGGGGGCCCACATTGCAGCCCTGGTCAAAAGGGCCCAGCAGAGATTATGCTACCTGAGGCTTCTCAGAAAACAACAACAGAATGGAAAACTGCTGGTGACCTTCTACCGCTGCACCACAGAGAGTATCTTAACTCACTGCACCTGTGTGTAAGGTTTGCCAATTGTACAAGTGGCAGATAGGACAGCACTCCAGAGGGTGAACATCATTGCCCAGAGGATCATGGGTTGTCCTCTCCCCTCTTTGGAAGAGCTTTAAGAAAGTTTAAAACATTCTCACGCTGCCTCAAGAAAGTTCAAAACATTCTCAAAGATCCATCTCATCCTGGGAACCCTATTTTTTTTTTTTTTGAACTATTACCATCTGGCAGACGGTACAGGAGAATAATAAAAACAAGGACAAATAGGCTGAAAAACAGCTTCTATCCCAGGGCAGTAACTTTATTGAATTCTACTGTATAGTGCAATGTTATTGCACTATCAGGGGTTATCAATTCAATGTACAGACATGTGAAGGATGGGTGTTTGTGTTTATTTTCACAGTCATAATGTACATTGAAGATGGTATTTAATTTAGTTGTACAAGGTGTAATGACAATAAAGTAAACTAAACTAAACTAAAATAAAAACAAGGACAAATAAGCTGCAAAACAGCTTCTATCCCAGGGTAGTAACTCTATTGGATTCTACTGTATGGTACAATATTAATGCAATATTAGGGGTTTTCAATTCAATTATATAGAATGTGAAGGATGCATGTTTGTGTTTATTTTCATAGTCATGATATGCGCTGAAGATGGTATTTAATTTCATTGTCCGAGATGCAATGACAATAAAGTAAAATAAAATAAAATAAAATAAAAACAAGGACAAATAGGCTGAAAAACAGCTTCTATCCCAGGGCAGGAGCTCTGTTGAATTCTGCTATAGAGTGCAGTGTTGGTACGATATCAGGGGTTTTCCATTCAATATGTGGCGTGTGAAGGAGGTGTGTTTGTGTTTATTTTCATGGTCATGATGTGCACTGAAGATGGTGTTTGATTTCATGGTCCGAGATGCAATGACAATAAAGGAAACTAAACTAAATAAAGTAAACTAACGGCACCACTTTCTCTTCCACGTCCAGAATCGTATGTGGCGAAAAACCCGGTCCAGAATACCTGGCAGCCAGTGTGTCGGGGTCGATCCCAACCGAAACTGGAATGCCGGCTTTGGAGGTAAGTTACGCATTGCTTTTGTCCGCAGCTGAGTTCTTGCATCGGCTTGTGCTGGTGTTAGGGAGTCCTCGACTTGCAACAGTTCCTTTAGCAACCGTTTGAAGTTACAAACCGCACTGAAAAACGGGGACTTATGATGGTTTTTCACACTTACGAGCATGACAGCGTTTCCACAATCACATGATCCAAATTCGGATGCTTGGAAACTGGCATGTACTTATGATGGTTGCAGCATCCCGGGTTCATGGGGCCCCTTTTGCAACCTTCGGACAAGCAAAGTCAACGGGGAAGCCAGATTCACTTAACAACCATGTTACTGGTTTCAGAACAGCGGGGAGAATCGCGACGAGGACATTCATAAAACGGGACAAAATTCACTTAACAACTGCCTGGTTTAGCAACGGAAATTTGGGGTTCAATTGTTGGCATAAGAGGGTTTGCTTCTTCTGCAATCCTGCAATCTCCCTGTGTGTTAAACCAGGGGTCGCCAACCAGTGGGCCGGGGGACCACGGGTGGTCTGCGAGAAAATGTTGGTGGTCCGCAGAGAAATGTCCCCCCCCCAAAGCGATTAATCCAAGGCTGCGCCGCCCATATGGCCCGCGGGAACACAAGGCTTCCGTCGCTTGCATTGCGAACAAGACGAGGCAGTGAGGGGAGGGGGGAAAGGGCGGAGGGGGGGGAACTTGTCCCACTTGCCCCACGCGCCTGGCCTGGCCACCGGGCTGCTTCTCTCCGCTTCTTTCTTCTTCTGCTTTTGGCTGCACGCAAGGAAAGCAGCAAAAGTCTTTCTTTCTCTCCCCCAAACTCCGCCAGAAATGAGTCTTTGGGACCCTGCCAGGCCTCCTGCTCCAAGAAGCGGTGCCGGCAAAGACTCATTTCTGGTGGAGTTTGGGGGAGAGAAAGAAAGACTTCTGCGGCTTCTGCTGCTTTCCTTGCATGAAGCCAAAAGTCTCTGTCTCTCCCCCCCACCCCGAGAACGGAGCTGGAGATCCCAAATAAAGAAGGATCGATTGGTAGGAAAACGGGGTGGGGGATTTTCCTGCTGATTTTTGGGAGGATTTTCCCAGGGTCTCTGGTCCGCGGGATTTAAAATGATGTGTTTGGCGGTTCCTGAGGTCCGAAAGGTTGGCGATCCCTGTGTTAAACAGCCGACTGCCACACAAAGCAGCTGAGCTTGAAAACCAGGAAATAAAGGTCAGAATAGAGCCGGAGCAGACAGGTGGGCCCAACAGCTGATGGCTCACAGATGATCCTCGGAGCTACTGGTTTGGCCAAACCAGGCTCAACCAGTAGAAGCCCCTCACCGCTTAGTATCCAGTTGAAAATGGGAGTGTCTTGAATGTGGAACCTTGGATTCTTTTTTTGTTTTTTGACCGGATTCATTTGCCTTCCCACCCTGGCAGGACCCGGGGCCAGCAACGACCCCTGTTCCGATTCCTACCGCGGACCCAGTGCCAACTCAGAAGTCGAAGTCCGGTCTATGGTGGATTTTGTCAAGAGGCACGGGAACGTCAAGGCCTTTATCAGCATCCATAGCTACTCCCAGCTCCTGATGTACCCCTATGGCTATAAGTGCGCCAAGCCTAAAGACGCGGAAGAACTGGTAAAGCTCCGGGTTCATGGGACGGTGATGTTGTGGCGGAGTCGGAGAGTGAGGAGGTTGGGGGAGGAAACTGGGCCGGTCCTGGAG